CACGTATTTTTTTGAAGTCTCCGAGGCAGGCCACAAAAAGTTCACCTGAACTGTACATTCGGCAACTGCAGTCCGTAGTGCAGTGTCTTTCTCGCTCACATCAGTCATGTTTGCTTTACCTGCACGGTTTAAATGACTCAAATCCCTCGATGGATTAGCAGCACTGATATGCGTAAGCCGCTTCGGGAAGTACTGGACCACTGGGGCTTTTAACGGGGTGCCTACCACGTTTCTCCACGCATCTGGAAGAGACGTTTCAACAGTCCTGGAAAGTGACAAGTTTCGATCTCACATAAGTGAAAGGTCCCAGTCAAACGTTGTTTAGCAAATAATTTTATTGTGTTTTGTGTTTGATGCCTTCTGCTGCAGCAGAGATTAGATGTGCATCCAGTTACACATCCTTGCGGCTATAATGCATTCCAAGCATTCGGTTGGCATGATTTATGAATGAGGTATATAAACGCAAAAACGATTTTGGAGACATGAACTCTAGGTATCTGTTCTTCGCTGTTTTCGATAACGAATGACCAAGAATAAGCAGTTCTGGATATTTCGAAAAATATTCGTTTGGAATCGGTAACAGCACAACGTCATAAAAGTTTCTGGCAGGAAAGCCTACGAAACACACTGCCCTTAATTCTCCTGCATGTGCAGTTCTGGATGCAAATAACATCCAAACTTTCGATCTTTTTTATGATACTACCAATTAACCTCCAATTAAAACCATCGGTCTGTTTGTCATCTTCATTAATCCATTGATCCCTGAAATTAAAAAGGAAGATTTCTACTCCTTAGCTTTTCTGGTTCTTAGATTAGTGATTTTTCCCACCAAAATTTTCACATGTTCGTGCAACTTGCGATTCGGATGTGCATGAAAGTTAGCATCACGTTTTTGGGGACCTACTGCCAGGGAATACACTGGCAGAACTTCAGCACCTGAGCTTGCTTGGTTGTTGGGTTGATATACTCGGTGGACGAACACACATAAACACACGGAGCATAGGTCGTTGTAATATGCGTTTTTGCCGATTGTTGCAGCGTAGTAACGCTACACCGTAAAAACGCATAATAAAAATGATTGAGCAGTTTCCAACAACACATTTCGCTGCTTCTTGTCATACGTCTACAAGTGAAACTTCAAAAAGCAGACAAAAATTAGCAGTTTTCGAAAAGGGAATGTCCAAAGATTTGTCTACAGTCTGTTTTTTCCTGATACACTATAAATTTTGCCTAGAATGATTCAATGGAATATAAATGCGAACCGGCATGCCGTTCCTTCTTGCGTTTCACAGCTTCAATAATGGTTCTTCTGATATCCTCATTGGTACCACCGCTGCGTAATATGTCTCGAAGCGAAACCTCACTACTCCCATGTAGACACACCTCAACACGTACTCATGTATGCAGCAATAACGCCAATAAAACATCAAAAAAGAGATCCAGGATCTTTAACCTTCAGATTGCCGTCAGCGGTGATGCGAAGCCTATCACAACTTCCGCAGAAGTGCTCCGTCATCGACGATATGAATCCGAAAGTGCCTCGAAACCCCTGCACCTTGTAGATCTGCAAACGATATTTTCGAATTTGACGAAAGAAAACGATCAGCTGCGTGGTTGATTTCAAATTCCACTTCCGGATTTCAAAAATACCTCAACTTTTTGTCGGAATTTCACAGAACTCTAGAATTACGAATTTTTCTGGGTGGTACGGGCGCTGTTGTACAAATTCCTAACCAGACTGGTAAAATTCATACCTTCGCTGTACTGTTCGGCTCATTCGCGATCTTCAAAATTTGTGGGAATTCTCCGTCCAATCTTTTTAACAATTCCTTATATGATATCAATTTTTTCGTTGTGAAATTGTTCCCCATAAATGGCATGTATTCTATGAAACGCACTTCAATGTTCTGAAAAAGACTGCAGCAGCGGCAATGTTAATCACTCGCCGCCCACGTCCACTGCTCCAAAATTTCTCGTAAGCTGAGAGCCAACTAAGTACTACTTTCCAAACGAAAAAGCCAACGAATTATACGCGGTTACTTTGGCACGGCATTGTTTTAGATTACATAGTGGTACAGTAGCCAGAACCAGTGACCATCACAGAAGCACATAACTAACTTATACGAGCCCAACAAGGATCTTCATCTGCATGCTCATGTAAATTTAACATTCTTTCTCACTAACCTTGTTTTGTGTTAGCCGCACGAATGCCGGTACTTCGTCATCGTTGAAATCTCGAATAACAACGTTGTTTATCTAGAATAAAATACCAGTTTGCTGGACAGGAACAGTAATGATGAGCAGCAAAAATTTTGCTGAAAAGAAGATGATTGCAAGAGGGAAGTTCCAT